TGATTCGAAGGGGGGGGGGGGGGGGGAGAAAAGCATAGCCGTCTACATTTCTGCATTTGGAAAATGGGGCAAACCCCCAATAAACCTATGGCTTGCTTGGAACGCAACTTATTGCATCATCTTTGTGTGTTCAATTGTGCAAAACAGACCAAATATTCCCCCCCCCCCCCCATGTACTGACACTATTTTTATTTTATTGGACATACTTTTTCCCTGCCGACATTTCGCTTTGGCAGACATTGCGCCAACACAGCACCCCAAGTTTTGCAGGTTTCAGGGACCCACATGTCAAAATGGGCCGCATTTGCTTTTCGAAAACCGACAACCTTCAGAATCAGTTAACAAAGCCAACGATTCAATTCTTCGGGGGCCTGAGATCCCGTTCGGCCTTTTTGATTTCAAAGAATATTATTTAATTTTTTAATAATGATTTTATTTTAAAAAGCACCACTCTTTTTATTCCGAATATTTTTCCACTCCAAAACCACCTGCCCAGTGTCAGCATCAAGCATTTCTCTCCGGGCGATCCAGGATGGATGTGCCTCGGCCATGACCCCGTGTAGCTTTTTTAAAAAATGTCACCTTCGTAAAAACACACACAGTCACAATGGCTTGTCATGTATCTCACCCCGCTCGGCGGCGACGAGGACAATAAATCTATTTTCCCCCCCTTTCCTTAGGAACAAAGATTCAGCAACACTCGCACACAGAAAGAGACACACACATACACCCATGCGCACACCGCCCAAGAACAGCCGGCGCGGCGCACGAGCGCCTTTCTAAAGGGAATAACCGTAAAAGCCGACTAATTGTTCTGTTTCATGTGCACGGCTGGAAATAAGGTGCACCAGGGAGGAAAAAAAAGACAAGGGGAAGGGAACAGAAAAAAAAGGTCGACCAGCCACCCTGTTGATAGATCTCATCAAATATAAATGCCCGGCCTTCGACAAATACCCCAACTTGGAGCGCATGAATATTTGAAGAGGGAGCCTCTAATTATAATTTGTTCGCCGCGAATGTTAATCGCTTGGCTAACGGGG